ATAAAATAATACTAATAATAATAACCTATAAATAAATACAAAAACGAAAACAAATCAAGAGTGAGAAAACAATATATGTATGTTAGTTGTTAAAGTAAGAGAAACATTGAGACCCTGCAATTGTGTGTAAATGAGGCAGAAAGTCAGATCAGCAACCTGGGACTTGGTCACAATTTTCGTGATGCATATGGCAGCAGAGTCTTCTACATTACACAACACTGGGGCCCATTTAATCTGTACAGTATGTCTGTGTCCCTCATAAGTAAAACCAAATTTTTATATTGACGAGTCTCCTCCAGCTGTACCGCCATAGGAAAATGGCTGAGCCCATCAAGGTCTCAGATTACACCACACGGGTCGTCCCAACACGATAACTTAAACTTTTTATTATTATTATATTTAGAAACGAGATACCAAAAAGCTAACTAAATTTATAGTTGTTACGTAGATTTTTAGAATAGTTTAGACGTGGTAATCTCACATTCTTGCATTCAATACAAGTGATTTAGACCACTAATCTGTTTCCCACGTAAAAACAAAACGCAAAAAGAATAAATAACCTTCTGAATGGCGTAATTTCTCTTACTCAACTCGCTGAAAAATCTGTTTATTCTTCCACTCTTATACACTTTTTCACATGAACCAGCGTCAGTAGGCAGCCTAAATTTCTTGTTTTGGTTTTATGTTTACTCGCTAATGTGCGCTATACCAGCAGCGGCGGCACTAAAACTGCTAACATTAGCTCACAATGAGTAGTCTCTAACTTGGCAACCCCATTGAGATATCCAAATTAGCATACCATAATGGATTCACATTGCCACTTTTCATGCACAGGACCCCTGTTTAGATTATTATCATAACGTAATTCTAATGTCTGTTACTTTTCACATGCAGCGGGCTCCTCCCTGCTAAGACCGTAACATTAGCATAACAACAACATCGCCATTTCCAGTAAACTCGCATACGTTCATCCGGGCTAACATATCTCAGGTGTGGCTGAGGGGTGGCTGTTGTGGCTGGTATGGGGGGGGTAGTGACTGGCTGGGGGCAGGACTGGCTGGGGGTAGTGGCTGGCTGGGGGTAGTGGCTGGCCGGGGCAGTGACTGGCTGGGGGTAGTGGCTGGCCGGGGGTAGTGGCTGGCCGGGGGTAGTGGCTGGCTGGGGTAGTGGCTGGCTGGGGGTAGGGCTGGCCGGGGGTAGTGGCTGACTGGGGTAGTGGCTGGCGGGGTAGTGACTGGCTGGGGTAGTGGCTGGCCGTGGTGGCCGGGGTAGTGGCTGCCGGGGGTAGGGCTGGCTGGGGTAGTGGCTGGCTGGGGGTAGTGGCTGGCTGGGGGTAGTGGCTGACTGGGGGTAGTGGCTGGCCGGGGGTGGTGGCTGGCTGGGGTAGGCTGGCTGGGGTAGTGGCTGGCTGGGGGTAGTGGCTGGCTGGGGGAGTGGCTGGCTGGGGTAGTGGCTGGCCGGGGTAGTGGCTTGCTGGGGGTAGTGGCTGGCCGGGGGTATGGCTGACTGGGGGTGTGGATGGAAGGGAGTGGTGGCTGGCTGTAGTGGCTGGCAGTAGTGGCTGGCTGGGGGTAGGGCTGGTCAGTAGTGGCTGGGGGCATGACGGTAGTGGCTGGCTGGGGGTAGGCTGGCTGGGGGGGAGTGGCTGGCTGGGGTAGGGCTGGCTGGGGGCAGTGGCTGGCTAGTGGGGGGAGTGGCTCGGGGTAGTGGCTGGCCGGGGGTAGTGGCTGGCCGGGGGAGTGGCTGGCTGGGGTGCTGGGTAGTGGCTGGCCGGGGGTAGTGGGGCTGGGGTAGTGGCTGGCTGGGGGAGGCTGGCTGGGGGTGGCTGGCTGGGGGTAGTGGCTGGCTGGGGGTAGGTGGCTGGCTGGGGTAGTGCTGCTGGGGTAGTGGCTGGCTGGGGGGTAGTGGCTGGCTGGGGCAGTGGGCTGGCTGGGGGTAGTGGCCGGTCAGTGGCTGACTGGGGGAGTGGCTGGTTGGGATGGCTGGGGGCAGGGCTGGCTGGGGGTAGTGGCTGGCTGGGGGTAGGCTGGCTGGGGGGTAGTGGCTGGCTGGGGTAGTGGCTGGCCGGGGATGGCTGGCTGGGGTGGGCTGGGGTAGTGGCTGACTGGGGTAGTTGGGGCAGGGCTGGCTGGGGGTGGCTGGTCAGTGTGGCTGGCTGGGGTAGTGGGTGGCTGGCTGGGGTAGTGGCTGGCTGGGGGTAGTGGCTGACGGGATAGTGGCTGGCTGGGGGTGGCTGGCTGGGGGTAGTGGCCGGGCTGGGGTAGTGGCTGGCTGGGGGTAGTGGCTGGCTGGGGGGCAGTGGCTGGCTGGGGGTAGTGGCTGGCTGGGGGACTGGGCAGGGCTGCAGCCAGGATTGGCTGGCTGGGGTTAGTGGCTGGCTGGGGGTAGTGGCTGGCTGGGGTAGTGGGCTGGCTGGGGGCAGTGGCTGGCTGGGGGTAGGGCTGACGAATAGTGGCTGGCTGGGGTAGGTTGGCTGGGGGAGGCTGGCTGGGGGTAGGGCAGGCTGGGGCAGGGCTGGCTGGGGGCAGGGCTGGCTGGGGGTAGTGGCTGGCTGGGGGTAGTGGCTGGCAGGTAGTGGCTGGCTGGGGTGGCTGGGGGCAGTGGCTGGCTGGGGTAGTGGCTGGCTGGGGGTAGGCTGGCTGGGGTAGGCTGGCTGGGGGTAGTGGCTGGCTGGGGTAGTGGCTGGCTGGGGGTAGTGGCTGGCTGGGGCAGTGGGCAGGCTGGGGGTAGTGGCTGGCTGGGGCAGGCTGGCTGGGGGTAGTGGCTGGGCTGGGGTGTGGCTGGCTGGGGGTAGTGGCTGGCTGGGGGTAGTGGCTGGCTGGGGGTAGTGGCTGGCTGGGGGTAGTTTGGGGGGTAGTGTGGGTGGGGGTAGTGGCTGGCTGGGGTAGTATTGGCTGGGGTATGGATGGTCAGTAGTGGCTGGGCTGGGGCAGGGCTGGCTGGGGGTAGTGGCTGGCTGGGGTAGTGGCTGGCTGGGGTGTGTGGCTGGGGGGTAGTGGCTGGTCGGGGGGTATTGGCTGGCTGGGGTAAGGGCTGGGGTAGTGGCTGGCTGTGGGGTAGGGCTGGAAGGTGGTGGCTGGCTGGGGGTAGTGGCTGGCTGGGGTAGTGGCTGGCTGGGAGTGGCTGGCCGGGGGTAGTGGCTGGCTGGGGTAGTGGCTGGCTGGGGTAGTGGCTGGCGAATAGTGGCTGGCTGGGGGGTAGTGGCTGGCTGGGGGTAGTGGCTGGCTGGGGGTAGTGGCTGGCTGGGGGTAGTGGCTGGCTGGGGTAGTGGCTGGCTGGGGGTAGTGGTCGTACTGGCTGGCAGTGTGGGTACTGGGCAGCTGGGGGATGGTTGGCTGGGGTTAGTGGCAGTGGGGTGTCTTGGGGGTAGTGGCTGGCTGGGGGTAGTGGCTGGCTGGGGGTAGGCTGACGGGAATAGTGGCTGGCTGGGGGTAGTGGCTGGCTGGGGGTAGTGGCCGGCTGGGGTAGGCTGGCTGGGGGCAGTGGCTGGCTGGGGCAGTGGCTGGCAGTAGTGGCTGGCTGGGGTAGTGGCTGGCCGGGGGTAGTGGCTTGGGGGTAGTGGCTGGCTGGGGTGGTGGCTGGCTGGGGGTAGTGGCTGGCTGGGGGCAGTGGCTGGTCAGCAGTGGCTGGCTGGGGGTAAGTGGCTGGCTGGGGTAGGCTGGCTGGGGGGTAGTGGCTGGCTGGGGTAGTCTGGCAGTGGCTGGCTGGGGGTGGTGCAGGCTGGGGGTAGTGTGGCTGGCTGGGGGCAGTGGCTGGCTGGGGGTAGTGGCTGGCTGGGGTAGTGGCTGGCTGGGGATAGTGGCTGGCTGGGGGTAGTGGCTGGCTGGGGTAGTGGCTGGCTGGGGTAGTGGCTGGCTGGGGTAGTGGCTGGCTGGGGTAGTGGCAGGCTGGGGGTAGTGGCTGGCTGGGGGTGGCTGGCTGTGAGTGGCTGGCTGTAGTGGCTGGCTGGGTGGTGGCTGGCTGGGGGTAGTGGCTGGTCTGTAGTGCTGGGCTGGGGGTAGTGGCTGGCAGTAGTGGCTGGCTGGGGTAGTGGCTGCATCTTTAACATGATTCTGGCACTTAGTGATGCTGGAGGCGTGGTGTGTGTCTCTTTTCTCTTCTTTTCTCTCTTTCTCTCTCTCTGGATACAGATGCGGTTCCTCTCGTCTGGATCAAAACAGTAAATAAAATACATTCAGTGACTTAAAGGAAAAAAAACTAAAACGTCTAAAAAAATATATGTACCATACAAACTATAAAAATTTTTGTATAAATATTATTGTCCTGTTGGCCACATGTTGTTGTTGTTGTTGTTGTTGTTGTATAGACCATAATGAAGTGTCAGTTGACCCAAAATTGTGATAAATATCCACAAGTTTAATTACTGGACGCATGTTGACAATCTATTTTGTGATTTTTATTACAACTACAACTATGTGTGCGTGTGTGTGTGTGTGTGTGTGTGTGTGTGTGTGTGTGTGTGTGTGTCCTCCTCCTCTCAGTTGGTCAAAAACGAGAAATGACAGATGGTCCCAAAAAATTTTCAAAGAAATTTGAGACATGTGGAGGGAGGGAGGGAAGGAGGGAGAGGAGGGAAAGGAGGGAGGGGAGGGAGGGAAGGAGGGAGGAGGGGAAGGAGAGAGGGAGGAGGATAAGGAGGGGAGAGTGAGGGAAGGAGGGAGGGGAGGATAAGAGGGAGAGTGAGGGAAGGAGGGAGAGGGAGGATAAGGAGGGAGAGGAGGGAAGGGAGGGAGGGAGGGGAGGGATAAGGAGGGAGAGTGAGGGGAAGGAGGGAGGGGAGGGAGGATAAGGAGGGAGAGTGAGGGGAAGGAGGGAGGGAGGGAGGGATATGAGGAGAGGAGGGAAGGAGGGAGGGAGGGATAAGGAGGGAGAGGAGGGGAAGGAGGGAGGGAGGGAGGGGATAAGGAGGAGAGGAGGGGGAAAAGGGGAGGTAGGGAGGGGAGGGAAGGGAGGGGAGAGGAGGGGAAAGGAGGGAGGGAGGGGAGGAAAGGAGGGAGGTGAGGGGAAGGAGGAGGGAGGGAGGAAAGGAGGAGAGTGAGGGGAAGGAGGGAGGAGGAGGATAAGGAGGGAGAGTGAGGGGAAGGAGGGGAGGGAGGGAGGATAAGGAGGGAGAGGAGGGGAAGGAGGAGGAGGGTGGATAAGGAGGGAGAGGAGGGAAGGAGGGAGGGGAGGAGGATAAGGAGGGGAGAGGAGGGAAGGAGGAGGAGGGAGGGATAAGGAGGGAGAGGGGAGGGGAAGGAGGGGAGGGAGGGAGGGATAAGGAGGGAGAGTGAGGGGAAGGAGGGAGAGAGGGAGGGAGAGGGAGGGAGAGGAGGGGAAGGAGGTGGGGAGGGAGGAGATGGAGGGGAGAGTGAGGGGAAGGAGGAGGGAGGGGAGGGAGGGAAGGAGGGAGAGGAGGGAAGGAGGAGGGAGAGGGATAAGGAGGGAGAGTGAGGGGAAGGGAGGGAGGGAGGGAGGGAAAGGGAGGGAGAGGAGGGGAAGGAGGGGAGGGAGGGGAGGGATACAAGGGAGGGGAGAGGAGGGGAAGGAGGGGAGGGAGGGAGGGGAAGGAGGGAGAGTGAGGGGAAGGAGGGGAGGGAGGGGAGGAGCAAGGAGGGAGAGTGAGGGAAGGAGGGGAGGGACAAGGAGGGAGAGGAGGGGAAGAGAGGAGGGAGGAGGGGATAAGGAGGAGAGTGAGGGGAAGGAGGGGAGGGAGGGGAGGGGTGAGGGAAGGAGGAAGGAGGGAGGATAAGGAGGAGAGGAGGGGAAGGAGGGGAGGAGGGAGGATAAGGAGGAGAGGAGGGGAAGGGGTGGGAGGATAAGGAGGGGAGAGGAGGGGAAGGAGGGAGGATAAGGAGGGGAGAGGAGGGGAAGGAGGAGGAAAGGAGGAGAGTGAGGGAAGGAGGGAGAGATAGGAGGGAGAGGAGGGAAGGAGGGAGGATAAGGAGGGAGAGTGGAGGGGAAGGAGGGAGAGATAAGGAGGGAGAGTGAGGGAGGGGAGGAGAGGGAGGGAGGGGAAGGAGGTAGGGAGGAAGGGATAAGGAGGGAGGAGTGAGGGGAAGGAGGGGAGGGATAAGGAGGGAGAGTGAGGGAAGGAGGGGAGGGAGAGGAGGGAGAGGAGGGGAAGGAGAGAGGGATAAGGAGGGGAGTGAGGGAAGGGGTAGGGGAGGGAGGATAAGGAGGGAGAGTGGGAGGGGGAAGGAGGGAGGGGAGGGATAAGGAGGGAGAGGAGGAAGGAGGGAGGAAGGAGGAAAGGAGGGGAAGGAGAGAGGGGAGGAAGGGAGGGGAGGGAGGGGAAGGAGGAGGGAGGGGAGGGACATGAGGGGAGAGTGAGGGGAAGGAGGAGGGGGAGGGGAGAGGGAGGGGAAGGAGGGAGGGGGAGGGATAAGGAGGGAGAGTGAGGGGAAGGAGGGAGGGGAGGGAAGGGGAGGGAGAGGAGGGGAAGGAGGGAGGGACAAGGGGAGAGTGAGGGGAAGGAGAGAGGGGAGGGGAGAGGAGAGGGGGAAGGAGGGGAGGAGAGAGGAGGAGGGGAAGAAGGAGGGAGGGAGAGGAGGAGGGGGAAGGAGAGGAGAGAGAGAAGGGGGGAGGGAGAGAGGAGGGAGAAGAGGGAGGGGGAAGGAGAGGGGAGGGGAGAGTAGAGGAGGGGGAAGGAGAGGAGGGAGGAGAAGAGGAGGGGGAAGGAGAGAGGGGAGGGAGATAGAGAGGGGGAAGGAGAGAGGGGAGGAGGGAGAGGAGGGGAAGGAGAGAGGAGGAGAGGAGGAGGGGGAAGGAGAGGAGGGAGATAGAGGAGGGGGAAGAAGAGAGGGGAGATAGAGGAGGGGAAGGAGGAGGGGAGGAGAGGAGAGAGGGGGAAGGAGAGAGGAGGGGAGAGAGGAGGGGGAAGGAGAGAGGGAGGGAGATAGAGAGGGGAAGGAGAGAGGGAGGGGAGAGAGAGGAGGAGGGAAGGAGAGAGGGAGGAGGAGGGAGGGGAGAAGAAGAGGGGGAGAGAGGAGGGGGAAGGAGAGAGGAGGGAGATAGAGGAGGGGAAGGGAGAGAGGGGAGGGGAGTAGAGAGGGGGAAGGAGAGAGGGGAGGGGAGAAGAGGAGGGGGGAAGGGAAGGGAGGGAGGGAGAGGGAGAGGGGAAGGAGAGAGGAGGAGAGAGAGGAGGGGGAGGGAAGGAGGGAGAGTAGAGGAGGGGAAGGAAGGAGGGGAGATAGAGGAGGGGAAGAAAGAGGGGAGGGGAGAGGAGGAGGGGAGGAGGAGAGAGGGGAGATAGAGGGAAGGGAGGAGGGAGATAAAGGAGGGGGAGAGAGAGAGGGAGATAGAGAGGGGGGAAGGAAGAGGAGGGGAGATAGAGGAGGGGGGAAGGAAGGAGGGGGGAGATAGAGGAGGGGAAGGAGAGAGGGAGGAGACAGAGGAGGGGAAGGAGAGAGGAAGGAGGGAGAGGAGGAGGGGAAGGGGAGGGAGGGAGATATGAGGGGGTTAGAGAGGAGGGAGATAGAGGAGGGGGAAGGGAAAGAGAGGGAGATAGAGGAGGGGAAGGAAAGAGGGAGGGGAGAGGGGAGGGAGGGGAAGGAGAGAGGAGGGGAGATAGAGGAGGGGAAGGGAGAGAGGGAGGGGAGATAGAGGGGAAGGAGAGAGGGAGGGGATAGAGGAGGGGAAGGAGAGAGGGGGAGGGGAGAGGGGAGGGGAGGAGGGAGGGAGGGAGAGGAGGAGGGGGAAGGAGAGAAGGAGGGAAAGAGGAGGGGAGGAGAGAGGGAGGGGATAGGGGAGGAGGGGAGAGAGAGGGAGACAGAGGAGGGGAAGGAGAGAGGGAGGAGAGAGGAGGAGGGGGAAGGAGAGAGGGAGGGAGATAGAGGAGGGGTGAGAGTGAGGGGAGAAGATGAGGGTAAGAAAGAGGGAGGGAGATAAAGGGAGGGAGAGGAGGGAGGAGATGAGGGGGAGGAGAGGGTGAGGAGGGAGGGAGGAGGAAGGAGAGAGGGAGGGAGAGAGGAGGGGAAGGAAAGAGGGAGGGGAGATAGAGGAGGGAGGAGAGAGGGAGGGAGATAGAGGAGGGGAGAAGGAGGGGGAGAGGAAGGAGGGGGAGGAGGGGAGGGAGAGGGGAGAGAGGGGAAGGGAAGGAGGGAGGGGAGAAAGGAGGGAGAAGGAAAGAGGGGAGAGAGGAGGGGAAGGGAAAGAGGGGAGGGGGAGAGAGGGGGGGAGGGAGGGGAGATAGAGGAGGGGAGGGGAGAGAGGGAGGGGAGAGTAGAGGAGGAGAGAGGGAGGGAGGGAGGGATAGAGGGGAAGGAGGAGGAGGAGATAAGGTAGGAGGAGGGAGGAGGAATAGAGGAAGGGGAAGGAAAGAGGGAGGAGATAGAGGAGGGAAGGAAAGAGAGATAGGGAGGAGGGGGAAGGAAAGAGGGGAGGGGAGAGAGAGGAGGGGGAAGGGAGAGAGGGAGAGTAGAGGAGGGGAAGGAGAGAGATGGAGAGAGAGGAGGGGGAAGGAGAGAGGAGGGAGAGAGAGGAGGGGAAGGAAAGAGGGAGGAGAGGAGGAGGGGAGGGGGAGGGAGAGGAGGGAGATAGAGAGGGAAGGAGAGAGGGAGGAGGGAGGAGGAGAGGGGAAGGAAGGGGAGGGGAGATAGAGGGGGGAGGAGGGAGGAGGGAGAGAGGAGGGGGAGGAAAGGGGAGGGAGAGAGAGAGAGGGGAAGGAGAGGGGAGGGAGATAGAGGGGAGGAGGGAGGGAGGGAGATGGAGGAGGGGGAGGGAGGAGGGAGGAGAGAGAGAGGGGGGAAGGAAAGAGGGAGGGAAACAAAGGGGGGGAGGGAGAGGGGAGGAGGGGATGGGAGGAGGGGAGGGAGAGAGAAAAGGGGAGGTGGAAGAGAGGATGGGAGGGGATGGGAGGGGAGGGGAGGGGAGGGAGGGGAGGGGGAGGGGAGGGGGAGGGGAGGGGAGGTGAGGGGAGGGAGGGGAGGAGGGGGGGAGGTAAGTTGGACAATGGGCCTAGTGAAGGAGGTTAAAACAACAAAAAATAATAAATAAAAACAAGGTTCACACAAACAATAGGGAGAGGTGTATAGCAGTTGGAATAATGTGGAATGAGAGGGGAGGGGGAGGGGGGAGGGGGAGGGGGGGAGGAGGGGGGGAGGGGAGGGGGGGAGGAGGGGGAGGGGGGGAGAAAGAACAGTGGAGGGTAAGGTAAGGGCAAGCAGGTGATGGGGAGGTGATAAAGGAAGGGAAGAGACGGTAGAAGGGGGAAGGGATATGAGAGAGAGAGAGAGAGAGAGAGAGAGAGAGAGGAGAGAGAGAGAGAGAGAGAGAGAGATGCTACGCCAAGTTTATTACTCTCATCAACATCATCAATGCTCCTCCCGACTCAACCTAAAACGGTATGACCAACAGAGCTTCTGCAGCAGTACTGGCGTGATCAGCTCCCAACAACAAAAAGTAATGGACGCCGCCTCAAAAGCACAACCTGGAGTTATCACGAGGAATGAGGCTACCCTAAAGCAACACCCAGAATCATATAATCTACAGACAGGTTCTGCAGGGTCGGTGTGTCGTAAGTTCACAGTGAAAATAAGAGCATCGGAGGTGTTTATAGGGAATCGTCTGTTTAGGAATGCTCAACCGCGGCAAAATGGCTACAAAACCGATACACTAGTAACTATAATGGTGCTATAGTACCTTAAAACAGAACCCTGAATGATGAAACTACGTGAGCACTATGTAGGATGTTGCGTGCTGCTTGTTCACAAAAAAAAAAAATAGAAACTATCTAATGAGACCAACAAGAACCAGAAGGAGGCGAGAAGACAGAGGGGTTGTTCTCAGGCTGCCTCGACAACTGGGTCAGTGGAGTTGGGTGACCACAACACACTACAGCAGATGGAAATTAGGTTAGGTTAGGTTGGTTTAGGTTAGGTTGGGTTAGATTAGGTTAGGTTGGGTTAGGTTAGGTTATGGAAGGTCAAGATACCGAGGGTTGGTAATGGTCGACTGTGGTAGGTTGTCATGGCCCCTGTAAAGGTCTGTTGGGGTGAGGATACAGCAAGACTCTCTAAACAGGTGGAGATCAGTAGTGTGAGGTAGAACAAGACCCAGTGTGGCGGGGTAGGTTATCGTCACCAGCAACCCCTGTGAAGGTCTATGGGGTATGGAGACGACAAAACACTTCAAGTTAAGATGAGAGGGATAAGACTCCAGTAGTTTGAGGACAGAACAAGATACAGTGTTGCGTGGCAGTTTATTGCGGCCCTGGTGAAGGAGTGTGGGGTGAGGAGACGACAAGACACAGGTGAAGGTCAGTGGGCGATGGGGATAATGCTGTGTGTAAGGTTATCATGAAGATCTTTGGGGTGAGGGCACAACAGGACACTCTGGCAGGTGAAGGTCAGGTGGGGTGGGGGCAGGACAAGAACTGAAAGGGATGGGAGTAACATAGTGTGGCAGGTTATCGTGGCGGTGGTCTACCCTCATCAAGGAACAATAGTGAGCATCGTCACAGGTAGATGGTGCCCCTGGTGGCCCTCCCGCGACAGTGTTCTGGAGGTAAATGTTCATAGTGTACCGTAACAGTTACCCTCACTGTATCCATTAACACAAACAAACACTCAGTGACTACCAAGAACAGTTATCCAAGTCAAGAAAAATTATCATAGAAAAACTCTCTACGTCACAACCACAGTGTTATTTAAGGAAAAGTTATTAAAGTGAAAAACAATCAGCGTCTGTAAAGGTTTTGTGCTGTATAAATCAAGAACAATGAATTCTTGTCGAGGATAACTCGGTAAAAAAAAAATATATATATATATATTCCAGTACAAAATAACTCCAGTTTAATTTGTCTCGACTGTTTTCCTAGACCGTTAAACAACTACAACTTAAGAGTGTGAATGAAGGGCAGTGACGCTCGCAAGATCTAAAAAATAAATAAATAAAGTCATTTAGAAACATTAAATCACGACACCTTCCCTCAGGAGGTAAGAAATGTAATTAACCCTTGTCAGGTGAGATTAACTTCTACTCAACACTTGTCAAACTTCACTTTTTGGTCCGCCATTCTTCCCTTTTTGTGGTCCACGCTTTTTGGTCGATCATCCTTTGTTGTATATCCTCTTTCGCTTAATGGAGAGAAAGTGACTGAGAAACATTACCTCACCAGGAAAGAAAGTGACTGAGAAACATAACCTCACCAGGAGAGAAAGTGACTGAGGAACATAACCTCACCAGGAGAGAAAGTGACTGAGAAACATAACCTCACCAGGAGAGAAAGTGACTGAGAAACATAACCTCACCAGGAGAGAAAGTGACTGAGAAACATAACCTCACCAGGAGAGAAAGTGACTGAGAAACATAACCTCACCAGGAGAGAAAGTGACTACTGAGAAACATAACCTCACCAGGAGAGAAAATGACTGAGAAACACAACCTCACCAGGAGAGAAAGTGACTGAGGAACATAACCTCATCAGGAGAGAAAGTGACTGAGAAACATAACCTCATCAGGAGAGAAAGCGACTGAGAAACACAACCTCACCAGGAGAGAAAGTGACTGAGAAACACAACCTCACCAGGAGAGAAAGTGACTGAGAAACATAACCTCACCAGGAGAGAAAGTGACTGAGAAACATAACCTCACCAGGAGAGAAAGTGACTGAGAAACATAACCTCACCAGGAGAGAAAGTGACTGAGAAACATAACCTCACCAGGAGAGAAAGTGACTGAGAAACATAACCTCACCAGGAGAGAAAAGTGACTGAGAAACATAACCTCACCAGGAGAGAAAGTGACTGAGAAACATAACCTCACCAGGAGAGAAAGTGACTGAGAAACATAACTAACCTCACCAGGAGAGAATGTGACTGAGAAACACCTCACCAGGAGAAGAATTCAAAACACAACCTCACCAGGAGAGAAAAGTGACTGAAAATATAACCTCACAGGAGAAAGGATGAAACATAACCTCACCAGGAGAGAAAGTGACTGAGAAACATAACCTCACCAGGGGAAAGTGACTGAGAAACATAACCTCACAGGAGAGAAAGTGAGAAATATAACCTCACTTGCAGGAGAGAAAGTGACTGAGAAACACCTCACCAGGAGAGAAAGTGACTGAGAAACACAACCTCACCAGGAGAGAAAGTGACTGAGAAACATAACCTCACCAGGAGAGAAAGTGACTGAGGAACATAACCTCACCAGGAGAGAAAATGACTGAGAAACACCTCACCAGGAGAGAAAATGACTGAGAAACACCTCACCAGGAGAGAAAGTGACTGAGAAACACAACCTCACCAGGAGAGGAATAGACACACTCAAGCCACGTGCCAATGGATAAGCAGAGAGATTACAGCTTCATATATGCAAACTAAGTCTCCCACACTGCCAGCCAGAGTGCCTTCAGGGACTTTGAGGCTCCCTCGTAGTGCCACCCCCAACAACAACAGCTAATTACCTGAGACAAGATGAGCGCATTAGCAAGGAGAGGAGGAGTGACAGTCAGTAGGTCCTGTCAGTTTATAGTTAATCTGATTATAGTAAGCCTGTTAATTTGACTTCACCGTCGTTCAGTTAGTCACTCTATAAAACAGTTAGATATCTTAGCGTCCTCTCGAGTTTGTTTATTTTCCAGTTACTGTCTTGGGTATTACAGTCAGTTTATTCTTCGTACATACATACATACATACATACATACATACATACATACATACATACATACATACAATCTATCACCTAACAGAGGCTCAGTCACCAATCAAAAAAAATCTTATTTAAGAGACAGTCGGGTGAGGACACAGCAGTTGACACAGTGATCTTATCAGTGACTGGGCTGTGGGTCGATCAGCTGCTGACCTTTGACCTTTACCCAAAACCCTACACACAACATTACAGGCCTGGCACCTGACATTTTTAGGGACCTGCCACGCTTTGCTATAAACAGATGAAATGTACCGGGAATTTTCCCCCCACAGACTCATCATTCTGTCACTTTATGTAACTTGCTGACAAAACCCATGACCCTTCAGGCTTCCACGCCCTTAATGCATGAGTCATAAAGGCAAGCATGAACTCCGCATGCTTCCCAGTTGGGCACTGTAAACGCTTCTGCGCTTCACCTTGCACAGGATTTAAGGGGGTGCCCAATAAACTAGCCCCCATCTGTAACATTACATCACAGCAGGAGGCCACCGCTGGCTTTATCTTACAAGGATGTAATATATCGAGTGAGGAATTGTCTCTCCAGCTAATAGGAATAGTGGGAAATATTAATTACCGCCTGTGACTCTGACATTGTAATAATAATAATAGTAATAATAATAATAATTAATGTTATTATCATTAGTATATTTATTATTCCAATCATTATTATAATTTTCGTCAAAGAGGATGTGTGAATTTCAGGAAACAAATTAATATATATATATTTTACTTCTTGTAATACCATCATTATCATCATCATCATTATTATTATTATTATTATTATTATTATTATTAATATTATTATTATTGTTGTTTTATATATTTCTAAGATCAATCATTCAAGGTTATATTATCAAGGAGGAGTTAAAATAATAGACTTGCTTGACCAAGTTCTGTGTTAGATGCACCAATCATCAGCACGTTGAGTATTAAAGACCTCTGCTCACTGTGTACCTTAACGCCTTGAACTGAGTGATTTAACCTGATGATGACGATCACCTAACTCCCTGACAACAGTCATCAGGCTTGAGAGAAGAGGTCATCGTTAAGACATCGTTCACTATAAGTTAATGTCTCAAGGGGTCAAGTCATTGCACTTAAGGAGTTAGGGTCACTCACTCATTCGGCTAGTTTAATATATTCAACCGTGTACAGGCGTCAGAACCTTGGTGTCATCAATGCATGTCAACAGTAACGCTAAATTAGGTTAGGTCGTATTAGCATGAACAAGATTAGTTAAAAATATGTTATAATTTATTTGGTTGGGTTAAATTGGGTGGTTTAGTTGGATTATGTTAGGAGCAGTGACGTACATTAGAAACAATTACTGTACTTTAAAGCCAAACGAACCAAAACGTGCACATCATTGTAACTGTACCCATGACTGTACGACCACTGGACACACACACACACACACACCAATAAGACATCCACTTATGACTAACTGTATTAATTAAACGGCGTAAGCGAGTACATGTTTACCCTCGCTAAGTATGTCAGTGGGCAGTGAAGATGAGGTCTGTGTGTACGTTGACCCAGCCCACCACTACCTCTCTCTGGGTGCCTGACCTGTGTCTTCTAACTGTCGAGAATGATTTGTAATGATGCAATTCTCTTTATCTCTTTTTCATGTACAAAAAAACAGGGAGAAAACTGGGTATAAACTCACACAAACGACTGCATTAAAAAAACTGCAAATCTCTCACACACACACACACACACACACACACACACACACACACACACACACACACACACACACACACACACACACACACACACACACAGCGGCATAAATCGAACTCCACCAGGCTATTAGATGACCAGCAGTGAGGAGGACAACATGATTGACCAACCACTCACCACTAACAATCACCCACCTCATTCCTCTGACAACTAACCACCCAACTCTCCCCACCAACAGCTAACCAACCATACCTCTGCTCACTAACAACCCACCACCACTAACAACTAACCACATTCATGAACGGACGATGGAGGGCAAACTAATTCTTGGATAAGGACCAATGAACCAGACCCGAATTATCTTAGATTAAGCCGGGGTTAAATTAAGACGGGTTATTTTAGGGGCTGGTTAGGTTATGGGTTTGGTTAGATTAAGTGCTAGTTATGTTAGGAGTTGGTTAGGTTAGGGCTGGGTCAGGTTAGGTTAAGTAAGGTTAGTTTAGTTTCTGTATGACTTGGCTGAATCGAGTTGAGGTGGATTAGATTAGGTTGTATTAGGTAAGGTAAGGTAAGGTAAGGTAAGGTAAGGTAAGGTAAGGTAAGGTAAGGTAAGGCAAGGTTAAGTTAGGTTGGGTTTCATCTGGAGATTATCAACTCTTGGGAGATCCCCTGTGGCCAATGGACCACAGGCGACAGTCAATCAGGCAGACGGTACCCAGCTTAGTGATCATCCACACATGTCTGGCTCTATCTGCACATCCACCTCATCCACACACGAGTTAAATAATCCACATCTTACTAATTTGACCTGGTACGGTAGCAATGGTCGTTGTGGTTGTGGTAGTCGTGGTGGTTGTGATGGTGGTAGATGTCGTGGTTGTGTGGTTAAGTAATCGTCACTCTTCCAGTATTGGTGAGTGGTTGTGGTAGTTGTGGTTGAGGTAGTTGTGGTGGGTAGCGCTATGGTGGTTGGAGTATCCAACACAATGAGCTAACAACACAGCAAACCTCCAACACTGTGAGCTAACAACACGACAAACCTCCAACACTGTGAGCTAACAACACGACAAACCTCCAACACTGTGAGCTAACAACACGACAAACCTCCAACACTGTGAGCTAACAACACGACAAACCTCCAACACTGTGAGCTAACAACACAGCAAACCTCCAACACTGTGAGCTAACAACACGACAAACCTCCAACACTGTGAGCTAACAACACAGCAAACCTCCAACACTGTGAGCTAACAACACGACAAATCTCCAACACTGTGAGCTAACAACACGACAAACCTCCAGCACTGTGAGCTAACAGCACGACAAACCTCCAACACTGTGAGCTAACAACACGACAAACCTCCAACACTGTGAGCTAACAACACGACAAACCTCCAACACTGTGAGCTAACAACACGACAAACCTCCAACACTGTGAGCTAACAACACGACAAACCTCCAACACTGTGAGCTAACAACACGACAAACCTCCAACACTGTGAGCTAACAACAACGACTAACAACACTCCAACACTGTGAGCTAACAACACGACAAACCTCCAACACTGTGAGCTAACAACACGACAAACCTCCAACACTGTGAGCTAACAACACAGCAAACCTCCAACACTGTGAGCTAACAACACGACAAACCTCCAACACTGTGAGCTAACACAGCAAACCTCCAACACTGTGAGCTAACAACACGACAAACCTCCAACACTGTGAGCTAACAACACGACAAACCTCCAACACTGTGAGCTAACAACACGACAAACCTCCAACACTGTGAGCTAACAACACAACAAACCTCCAACACTGTGAGCTAACAACACGACAAATCTCCAACACTGTGAGCTAACAACACGACAAACCTCTCTATCGCTATATGCGGCTTTTAACACAATGTTTTAACCAGGTCTAATAAACGGAAGTGTCTTACCTTAAGTATACAGTACAGCTCTATGTTGCCCCAGACGCCAGTACAGTGCAGTATCTGTGAACATAAACATTTATTACATTTATTATTTATTATTTATAATCAATAACTATAAATAAAATATGAATAAAATAATAAACAAGATAAACTACCACAATAATAAACGTAAATAAATGATAAGTAAAGAAAAGTATTGAAAAACAGAAGTAATAATAATAATAATAATAATAATAATAATAATAATAATAATAATAATAATAATAATAAACTTGCTGTTTTTTAAGAAAGATTTATAACTGTTTTCTAATTAAGTCCTAAAGTAGATCATCTTTCTTTAATTAACAACATATAAAGACTGATGCTGACAAATTCATTAAGTAGTCGCTTGCTTAAGGAAACATCTCCTAGTGCTGTAAATCATAGGCCTTTATACACAACACCAAGGTTACATCTGGTAAATAAACTCTCATCTTTATATCAACAAACCGCCACCACCACCACTACTACCGACCACCACCACCACTACCACCACCACTACTACCGACCACCACCACTACTACCGACCACCACCACCACAACCACCACCACCACCAAAGACCTCTATGAATTAACTAAGCAATGTTTACGTGTGCCGCCTGAACTGTTATGCTCCAGGATTTATACAACACCTAACAGTTTATATACACAAATACGACCATGAAATTTGTTACAAAGAAAAAATTATTACCAATCTTGTTCCTTGTGTTCTTGGTGATATTGTTGTAGTGGTGATATTATGTTTGGTAATTTATCGTGATAATACATGTGTGTTATAGCAGTAAATGTGTAATAGCGTAGATACCCCTAACCTAACCTAACCTAACCTAACCTAACCTAACCTAACCTATTTGGCCTGGGTGCTGTTGTCGTCATCCATTTCGGTGCTTCTTGACAACATTAATCCCGTCTCCAGCTTGGCCACCCCTCCCCCCTCCACCTCCACGACCGTCACTTACCACCTAACCGTCTTTCTTCGTTATTTACCGCTATACCCTTACGGTCACTGCTCTGGTGATAGTCACACCATCCTCCCACGCCTAATTGGATTCAGGCACTTGGCTCCCTGCTCCACTGCCTGTCACCACTACACTGTTCAGGCTTCATGCATACCAATGTCCTTCTCCTTCGTGGGATTTTTGTTTTTGTCTCACACTGCCGCTGTTGCTTATAAAAATCCAGGTAATGAAAGATTTTTTTTTATTTTATATATATTTCATTAACCTTGATAGGGTGGGGTAGGTTGCGAGGAGTGAAAGGTTAGGTTAGGTTAGGTTAGTGGTGCAATTTCGACGTAATTTGGCTGCCATCTTTATGTCATCGTTTAAGTGCGGTCTTCTCACTCCTTCAGTTATGAATAAGTATTTTCGAACGAACGTCTGAGAATGGGATCCCAAGGCCTAGCTAGATTCATAGAAGATCTGATTCGTAATTCTTTTCTCCTTAACTTAAACTATAAAACGAGAGATTCGATAAAATCTCAAGAGACAATATGTCAATGAAAGTTAATCTCTCATCTTTATGTCGTATCTCATGTGACTGTGAGGAGTTCTTATATCTCCAATTAGAAGGAAAACTCACATAGGAGTGTTTACGAATGCGGGACTAAAGGTGCTTGCAAAACACCGCCTTTTCCTCCAGCCACCCGCGGTTCCTCCCTGCTGGCACACAAGGAATCATTGACTACATCCTGGCATATCATCAATTATATAAGAGGAAGGAAGTGTCTGGAATACCAATGGAGATCGTAAATCAACTTAAATTTTCCGGGTTGTAAACTGTACTGCCGAGTGTGTCTCTTTAACACTAGTTGATCTCTTCACCTCTCACGCTAAAGTTTTCCTTAAATAAGAAGCTGGACTTAATCGTGTACGACACAGACCATATCCCTCTTCCACGAATTTAACAACAGTGCTGAAAAACTCTTTGATACACTCTGTACCGCCATCACCGACCTACACGGACTACCCCTGCCTCCAGCTGCTACCTAGTCCACCCACCGCAAGCCGCGCCTGCTCATGTCTCTTAGCTGTCTCCACCAGGGACCCCTATTGGACTCGAAGACACCACCCCCGGCTCCCCATTCCCCACTGGCAAGCCGGCACCTGGGGCCCATCCATTCCAGTTCTCCGCATCGATGAACCACCATGAGGACATGCACGTGGACTACGTATCTACGCCAAGAAGGATGTCCCCTACCAACCTCTCGACGTCCCCCTTGAAGCCGACACTACCGACGTACACACCAACACAATCACACTAAAAGGTATGCCAGGTCTCTCTGCATTTCTCAGATCTTCTAGATCAGAGTTCATGATATGACTTGAATGTTTTAAGTACAGCATTGGACAGGACAAGGTCACGGTCAACATTTTATTTCTTACATACCTCATAGTAAGTGGATTTATTTTTATGGTAATAACTGGTCGAATTATTTATTTTAATGGTAATTGCTGTTAAGGTGCTTTTGTTATTATCATTCATGGCGTACTTGTTTATTGTTATTGTTATTACTAGTAGTAGTAGTTGTATTTAATTATTTACTTGTTTATTTATCAACATTTTACAGTGATAAAAATATGCAATAGTTTGGGTTTGAGGCTGACTAAGAATTGTCCACTTGTGTCGTACTGAATAACAAATGTATTAGAAAACAGACCGGGAGTCACGAGTATGTAGTGAGCATTTTTGGACGTTCAGTATTTGTATGTGTGGAAACGTGACATAGTTTGTAAAGTGGGGGCCGAGGCGGGGACGGGCGGTGGCAAGTTTTAAAATATCGAATGTTGTTTTGCATGTTGGCTGTTACGGCAGTCATGTTTATATTCTACAACACATATTGAGTGTTTGGGTGTGTTTTTGTTATCTGGACTTTCTATATTCACACATTTTGGGACAAGTAACCACGTCATTAATGGGTAACTAAGACTAGGTTAAGGAGTGTGTACAGCAGGGATATCTCTGGTTAATGTAAAGTGTACTGTATACAAAACCATTGTGGTAGGCCAGAGACGACCGGTAGTGCCTTAATTACCAACAGTGGTGGAGAGGGAAGGGCTGGAGACTGACCCCCCCCCCCCTTCCCCGGCTCCGGACGTGCCTGTTAATTCAATTAATTAAGTGTCCACTGAGCTGGGGAGGAGAGGCTTATTGTTTTACTCTAGTCTGTTTGAACATTAACCCTTCCTTCATACACGTTTATGTAGAGGCAAGACGTATAGGGTGTCCCAGAGTGTCCCTCTCTCCCTGCCTACTTCCACCCTGTCTGCTCCCTGCCTCCCTCCCTCCCTGCCTGCCTCCCTGTCTGCATGCCTCCTCCTTCCCTGCCTGCCTCCCTGCCTGCTTCCTGCCTCCCTCCCTGTCTGCTCGCTGCCTCCCTCCCTGTCTGCTCGCTGCCTCCCTCCCTGCCTGCTCTCTGCCTCCCCCCCTCTCTCCAACTCACATTGTCTCAGGGAGCAGGGAAGGAGGGAGGTAGGGACCAGTCAGGCAGGGAGGCAGGCAGGGACATTTTTCTGGGACGCCCTATAGACACATCTTCACCTCAGTTATTTTAGTTTACTGTTGCCTATATCAGTTATACAGTACTTTATTTCATCCACACTTACGTTTTACTTCGATAAGTCTAAGACATCACAGACCACGGACACATATCCTCACTTTGTCTTTAGTTTAGCTGAAGAGAGTATGGGAGAGAGGTCTTAAGTGTATTACTGTTACTGTAAATTGTAACATATAAATTAGATTAGAGATTTTGGGCTGTACTAGCAAGTTCACATAGAAGCCTTTTAAGTGATCTGGTTATAGAAAATATAAAATCTGATTTGTGTTGGAACCCTGAGCTAATGACTGGGAATGAATGAATGAATGAAGAATATTTTGAAATAACGGGACATTCAGTATTTATTTTCATTAGATACAGATTCAGAAATTATGTATAAGTGAAAATCTTCTTCTAATATCATTTAATTATCACAAATGGCTGTTAAATAAAAGTTAGCAACAGGTTGAGGGAATGAGGAGCACCAAGAAGTGATGTGTTGTTAAGCTAAGCCACACATAGTAAATCCCTCATGGGTCAATAACATCCACCAGTCAGGTCAGGAAAGGTAGGGGATTGGGTCGAGCGGTGTAAGCTATCAAGTGTAGACCCAAAAACCTAAACAAGAGTCTCGTTTCCATTACTCCAGGCCAACTTTTTTTATTTGCTTTTAAAGGGAAACATTTTTTTTTACACGTCGACCTTCTGTTGTTGGGAAAAATTGGAACTTTTGTATTTTTGGTGTTTAGTTTATTTGATTGTTTTTAAGAACGTCTTGCTTGAGGGTGAAAGAAAATATATGAGGAAGGACACACACACACACACACACACACACACACACACACACACACACACACACACACACACTATCGGATACAAAAAATACAAATTATTACTGTAAACAAAATGAGAGAGAGAGAGATATATTTGTTTCATGTTCTCTGGTGTGAGGCGGTGATATGTCTGTTCCTCTCCATTTAGTTGAAAGAATTAAGAGGCGGACAGTTCTAGTGACACAAAACAATGCCTTTGAGTGTTGGAAATTTATTTATCTCTCTCTCTCTCTCTCTCTCTCTCTCTCTCTCTCTTATTTTGTTTACGGTAATAATTTGTATTTGTTCTTGTATCCTAAAGTGTGTGTGTGATTGTGTGTAATAATAATAATAATAATAATAATAATAATAATAATAATAATAATAAACGGTTTATTAATAGAGTTGCGGCCGGTGGCTGAAAATATACAAACTTACATGTGATTTAGACATAATGATATGCGTTCAATACATTTACAGGGCTGTACAGTACATAAATCAGGAGCTGTTTATTATTTTAACAATAGATGGGATGGTGCTATTCTTATATCTATCAGTGCGGGCTCTTATGGGCTGAATTTTGTTGTAGTGGCGGACTGCGCGAGGTGGGCGGGGGACTGCAGGTGGCAGTAAGTGGCGATGACGAGGATGGTGCAGTAGTCCATTGCCAA